GAGAGAGAGAGAGAGAGAGAGAGAGAGAGAGAGAGAGAGAGAAGATAATAACATTCACACCTGCCCCAGGATCCTTCTCAGACCTCTCCTCCCTTATAAATATGATACATTTTTGTTTAACTCCATAGTTCTGAGATTTAATTCTGTTACTACCTAAAGTTCAAATTCATTCATTTTATTTCAAAATAGTAGCATTTACCTTCATGAAAAACAAAATTTAACCATTCACCTTCCAACAGGCATTTGATTTACTTCCATCTTTGTTACAAATAATGCAAAATAATTTATTTCTTTGTTTAGAAAAATTAGTTTTGCCAGGATCTCTACCTAGGAATGTATTTCTGGGTTTAAGACTGTGTCTTAGTTAGGGTTTCCTTCTAGTGCTGTGAAGAGATACCATGAACATGACAACTCTTAGAAGAAAAACATTTAATTGAGGGTGCTGGCTTACAGTTTCAAAGGTTTCGTCCATTATCATCATGACAGGGAACATAGTAGCAGGCAAGCAGGCAGATGTGGTACTGGAGAAATAGCTGAGAGACCTACATCTTGCAGGCAACAGTGTAGTGGTATATTAATGTTTTTTAATAAATAAATCTTGCCTGAAGACCAGAGGCAAAGCTAAAGCCACTAGAGGTCAGGTATTGGTGGCACACACCTTTAATCCCAGGATTTGGGAGACAGAGGCAGATGGATCTCTGTGACGTCAAGGCCACCCTGGGCTACACAAGATCAATGCAGAAACAAATCCAGGTGGTGGTGCCTCACCTTTGATCCCAGTACTAGGGAGTCCTGACTCTAATCCCAGCACTAGAGGGAATATAAAATGGGAGGAGAGAGAGGCTTAGTTAATTAGTTTATGGTTGCCCAACCTCTTTAGAGGCTTCTCTGGTGCTTGGCTGCCTTGCTTTTCTGGTTTTCAGGTAGAACTCCAATTTCTGTCTCTGGATTTTTCTTAGTCATGCCACACAACAGGAAATCAACTGAGACACTGGGTGGTGGTATCCTGAGCATAGGAAACCTCAAAGCCTGCCCCCACAGTGTCACACTTCCTCCAACAAGGCACACCCACTCCAACAAAGCCACACCTCCTAATAGTGCCACACCCTATGAGATTATGGGACCAATTATATCCAAACTACCACAGGGTGTGTTCTCACTTTTATTGGACATTGTCAATTGTTCTTTACTAACTTAGAATGATAGTACAAATTCTATCCAAGTTATCTATGTTCTACACCCTCAAAAACACTTGGTGCTGCATCCAAGGGAATGCAGTAAAGGAACTGCCAACATGACAGTTCCACAAGGGGCGGGGAGGTTCTTATTGTTAGCAAAACAGAGGCAATATCCAGAGGCATCTGGAAGAGTCCAGAGCAAAGAGGAAAGAAAGCAGACTGGACATGGCTGGGGCTAGGGAAGTGGGAGAGCAGGAGACAATGGTAGAGATAGCAGGAGATAGGGAGAGCAGCAAATAGAGTCCCAAGAGAGTGGGGGGTGGACAAACCAGGCAGATTATAGTAAGGTAGCTGGAGGGAGGGGTTCATGTGGGGGGGGATGGAAAACCTGTTTCACAAGTTCCTGAGGAATGCTGGCTTTTATCTAATCATCAGAAATCCTTCTATTCTCCATCTTGAAATCATTTCTAGACATATAGAGGGCCTGAGACCTAACAGATGCTACCTAACTTTTCAATGTTTTGCCAAAAAAAATGATTGCGAAGAAATATTTCATTATTTCATGTTTTATTTTTCCTGAGTAGTAATAAAGCTGTGCATCCTTTTATGTTTTATCAGTCATAAGGTGTACTTGACAATCATATATTTATTTATTCATATATTTTGTTGTTTTCTACTAGATGGTGTGTGTGTGTGTGTGTGTGTGTGTTTTGTTGTTAGGTATTAACTCCAAAGCCTGGAACGGGGTAAATAAGCATTTTATCACTAAGGTGAGTTTCATCTCCTTGTTTTCCTTGGAATAAGCTCTCATTATATAGCTTCAACAAGTCTTAAACTTGCTGTGTTACCCAGGGTAGCCTCAAACTCCTGAATATCAGGCATGTGTTATCATGTCTCACTCTATTGTCTTAAAGTATATGCCTTGTGAAAAAGTAGTTTAACTAAAGTTATCATTCTCACTGTATTTTCAGAAAATAATTTTGGTGTTGGGGGTTGCAGGGACTTGTGCATACTAAATGTCCGTATTATCGCTGGCCCATAACCCCCACCCCTGCTCTCCTAACTTTCTTCTGAAAGTTGCAAGTTTTGCTTTTCACCATTTGATTTTTAACCTGCCCATCTTAGTTTTCTGTTGCAGTGATAACGCACTGACCAGAACCAACTTGAGGAGGAAAGGGGTTTATTTCATCTTCCAGGTTAGAATTCGTCATCAACAGAAGCCAGAGCAGGAGCTGAAGCAAGGAATCCTAGAGAATAAATAGTGCCTACTGGCTCATTTCCCTTGGCTTGCTTAGCTATCTTTCATATACAGCATAGGCCTATCTGTTCAGTGGACTGAACTCTGCCACATCAGTAATCAGAAGAATGCCTTCACAGGTCAATCTAATACAGGCAATTCCCCAGTTGGGATTCCTTCCTCTTGGGTATGTCTATGCTTGTGTTGAGCTTACAAACCCTTTATCATCCCACCCTTTGTCAATTCTGACACACGAACACACAATTTTAAACCAATCATTTTTTATTTCTTTTCTCTGGAATCTCATGTTAATTGCAATACAACGTTTTCAAGTTCCAGTCTTAGCCGAGCAGTGGTGGTGCATATCTTTAATCCCAGCACTTGGAAGGCAGAGACAGATGGATCTCTGTGAGTTGGAAGTCAACCTGGCCTACAGGGTGATTTCCAGGACAGCCAGGACTTTTAAACAGAGAAAATGGGTCTTGAAAAACAAACAAAAAATAGTTTTAGTCTTTTAAAAATACCAATTATTTTAAAGGCCCATTCTCTTTAAAGATCTAAAGTCTCTTAACTATAGGCTGCTATAAAATCCAAAATAAGTTTCATACCTTCTTATTCCAGAGGGAAGAGCCTGGGCACAGTGAAAATCAGGTGAAGGCCAAGCAAAAATCTAACAGTGTAAAAAGCTTAATGTCAGATGTCTGGACTCATTTGCGATCTTCTGGGCTCTAAGGTGCTTGGTTAACCTCACCTCCCCAGCTCTGACACATAGAGCACACACAGCTTGTCTAGTGGGCTCAGGCTGACTACTAACTATAATACCTCCAGAAACTGATTTTTCCATCCATGGTGTGAGGTAAGGATCTAACTATATAATTTTCCATGTGGAAAAAGAAATCAGTATCCCCGGTGGTATTTAATGAAGAATCTATTCTTTCTTCATTGATATGAAATGGCATATATACTGAGTATCCATCTTCTGTATGTGAATGGGTCTATTTATGGACTGTGTATTCTGTTCCATTGGTCTGTGCTCATACTATATAGTCTTAACTAGCATAGCTTTAAAGTAAGTCTTGATATCCAGTCAAATACAGATTCTGGAGGAAATGAATAACACCACGGAAGTGGTAGTACTTTTGGGCGACTATTAACAGCCTGGAAAAGTTACAGGAGTTCTTGGGGTGGGGGAAGGATTTAGTAACCCAGCTCAGATATCACAAAAGCTTGCTTACGTGGCCATTTGAAAGGAGAGAAAACAAGAAATTGAAAAAGTCATTCCAAAGAAAATATGAATAAGGTTTAGTTGGATCAAAACAATCATGAGCGAGGAAGAAAGCATGTAGCTTTTAAGTTTTCAGGGCTGATGGCTGAGTGGAACGGACTAGGTATGTGTGCTTCGAAAGTCACCTGAGGAGGATGAAATGCAGGGGTGGGGATGGGCCAGAGGAAAGCTATGGGTAATTTCCCAATTTAGGGTATGGAAGAAAAACATGGAAAGAGAAAACACCTTAGAAGATGACCAACAGAGAGCTTCATAACCTTAAAGGATTTTTGAGGGGTTTTGTTTTGTTTTTGTTTTTTTGTTTTTGCATCATGCTATGGTTCCTATCGGCCCAGCTCATCCGATATGGCTGTTTGTTTTTTTTTTCTCTGACTGTCTTCAAAGTCCTCAGAACCTTTCTGGTGCGTTGTCTTCCACTGGACCCGCGGCTATGGAGTCCTAAAGTCCTTCGGGTGTCTGGCTGCAGTTCCCCAGGTTGGTCGCAGGGGGCGAAATCTGCGGCGGCCTGGCAGGCGGGCGGGGGCGGGAGGCGCCGCTCTCTCTCGGGTCAGACACTCTCCTCCCAGCTCCCCAGCTCCCCGGCTACCTCCCAGGCTCCCGGGCTCCCGGGCTTCCCAGCGCCTGCTGGCGCCCGAGCCCTTTCTGTCCGCCTAGCCGAGGCGGGTGGGCGGCAGGCCGCAGGAGGCGGTGTCGTGGAATCCGCTGGCAGTCCGCAACCCCGCAGAGCCGGGAGGCCGCCCTGATGGAGCCGCAGCTCCCGATCGGAGCTCAGCCCCTGGCCGTATCCGTCTGAGAGAAGGGGGAAGGGGAAGGGAGGCCACAGGGGCGGGGGGCGCGGGCCGGGGTGCCGCACGTAAGTCCTGGGGCTGAGCGAAGCATGGAAAGGGGGCCGGCTCGGGAGGGGACACTGGGGGAACCAAGGAGGGCGGCCGGTGTGCGCCCGGCCCCGTGTCATCACCCCTCCTTGGCTGAGTTTGGAAAAAAAAAAAAAAAAAGAGCGAAAGACCCTTGACCAGTGCCTACATATGGTGGAGGGTTTGGAGATGAAGGGTCCCCTCCGGGAGCCCTGCACCCTGACCCTAGCCCAGAGGAACGGGCGATATGAGTAAGTAACCACCTGACTCCCACGGCGGAGAGCGCCTTATTCCATAAACCTCCCTGAGTCCGAAACCGCAAGAAGCCAGCCCCCTTGGCCAAGCGGGCAACAGGTTCACAGCCAGGTGTGCAGAGTGAGCGCTTCCTAAGCAGAGGCCTCCCATCACCAACTTCTAAGTTGCTAGATAACTCCAGGCCCTGTGGCTCAGTGGAAGGGCGCAATGGACAGGGAAGCAGGAAGCCTGGGTTCTTAGTTCCTGCACCCTGTAACTGACATGTGTTGTGTAACCAAGTTAATAAGGTTTTCTGAGTCTTGGTTTCTTTCCTCTTACATTGAATAAAAGCATAAACTGTCTTAGAACTTTTGGAGGTTTAACTGGGGGAATCATAAGTGCAAAAGTGGTTTACAAAGTAAAAGTGCTATGGAAATGCTCTGCTTTTAATGTTCCAGACTTGTCTTTTCCCCATTCGACTGGCTCTTCCAGTCCCTGGATCCTCTTTTTCCATTTGCTTGAAGGCATATTCATTAATTCACTAATTTGTTGGCATAGGGCAGTAACTGTCTCACTGGACTGGACTGTTGGAAAGAAAAGCTAATGAAATGTACAGAAATAAAGCGATATTTGACATTTTATCAGTGCAAGCCACTTCCTTGGATGATAGGAGCTCAGTAAATACTGTTGACTGATTGAGCAAAAGATTATTTAGATAAGCTATCGCACAGCTGCTAACCTTGCCCCCTTGTCACTAATGCTTCATCTTAAGTTCCCATGGTTACCATTATATGTCACAATGCCCTCTCGCTGTAAATGTGCACGCTACTACCCTTGGTTCACTGGTTTCTGGTAATCCGTTTTCCTCGCCGTTTAACAATTGTTGATTACTTAAATCTGAACATCTCATAACATTGGATTCTGCATGAAAAACCGTTTGTCTCGGGCCCTACTTTTTAATCCTCTGTCTCTAGCTGCACACAGAAGAAAAGTACCACAGGCCTTGCCTTGAGGCTACAGGTGACACTGTAACTGATTTCAACTCCATCTTTGAAGTAGCTCTTTCCTAGATCCTGCTGGGTTGGTTGTGCTGACGTGAGACATTCATGTTATTTTCCCTAGACTTTATAAAAATCCAGGAAGACTAGTTTAATAAGAATGCATTCAATGGACCAGTGAATTGAAGGGTTCGCTTCCACTATCGTGTCGGAAGGTGGAAACAGTATGGAGAAGTATAACCTGCACACACCAGTAGATTCTATGTTTCTTGCTTTCCTCTTCAATTAAAAAAACAAAAAACAAAACAAAACCAAAGTTCTAAGAATCAAGTGGAATAGCTACATCATCGAAATGACCACAACACAGGAATCGAACCCCCTGTTTAGTGGGTTTAGAACTCTAAAATGAGAGCCAGTAGCTGGTCTTAGGATAAGGAACTTGTCCTGTCTAATCTCTTGTACTAGAAAAACTTTTAAACTTGGCAAAGGGAGCACTCTTGATGATTTCCCCACAGAGAAATCAAATCCTTGTGGTGTGAGTCCATATAAATGCTAAGGGTGTAGCAACAACTGCTGCGTGGTGACTCGATGCTGGCTCTAAGTGCTTATCATGCCCCTTTATAGAGAAAGGGAGGCTAGGTTTCTTGTTCAGTTACAGCATTGCATGGCTGAGATCTAAACCTATGCAGTATAATCCAGAATTCTACAGACAAAAGTTTTTTTTTCTAGACAGGGTATCTGTGTAGCCCTGGGCTGTCCTGGAACTCATTCTGTAGACCAGGCTGGTCTTGAACTCAGAGATCTGCTTGTCTGTCTCCCCAAGTGCTGGGATTAAAGGTGTGGCCGTGAAATTTCTTTTGAAAACATTCACTGCAGACACCTGAAACTATAATACCATCTGTACGCCTCACAGGTTTTTTTCTTCTTGATGTCTTCTCTGACCTAGGTGTTCAGAAGTTTTTACTTTCGGACTTTTTGTCTTCGAACTTGAAGCCTAGTTCCACATTTAGCTCTGTCGTTCTGAATATGGAAGAGTTTTGCTTGAGAGACCAAAATGAAAAATAAACATATGGGGTTTTGCAAGGAAAACAATGAAATGTTAAAAATATTTATTTCTTTGGGGAATTTAATTAGGAAATTAACCTCTGCTTATAGTGTTATTAAAGTTGTTCACCTATTCAACCAGTAGTCATTGAGTATCTGCTAGACTGTAGACAGATCTGAATAGGGTCATTGCTCTGAAGGAGCTCCACTCGAGGGAAAATTAATGTAACTGCTGTTTAAGTGTTCTGTTGGAAGGCCAGGCTAGTGGGAGAAGATTGCTGGTTCTGCTTGGAACTGTTTGGAAAAGGCTTCACAGAGGAGGGCGTATTTGAAGTGGGGCTCAGGAAGAAAAGAGATATTCTTGAACAAAACTGAAGAGTGCTTGATGTGAAGGAAGCAGTTGATGTTTAGAACAGCGGTTTACTAATTAGGTTATACTTGGATTCTGTGCCACTAAGAAGAAGTGATTTTTTTAAAAATGAGCCCAACGTGGTGGCATGCATCTACAGTCCCTGCACTTTTGAGACTGGGCAGAAGGATCATGGGTTTGAGATCAGCCTGAGCTATATACTGGGTTATAGGCTAGCCTGAACTGCAGTTCAAACTACAGTGAAACCCTGTCTCAACAATGTAAGGAGTAAGAATACGTGAATTTAGAAGTCTTGCACTTCATACTTGGAAGCCTAATTCATTCATGCTTGCAAAAAAAAATTACCAGCCTGAAGTTAGCAACCAGAGAACATACTCAAAGGGTGTGAAGGCAACCCACTTATGGTTTGGGCTACCTCTTTGCTGTTATTTTACTGGTCCAGGAATAATTCTTCTTATTCCTCCAGCAACCTACATGCATGTGCGAAAGAGATAGAACACTTCTTTGGTCAAAGACATGAACCCGAACATGAAAACCTAAAGAACAGGTTGTCTGGTTCATTGATTCAGTGCACCTGAGTGTGTGTGGCATGCCAGTCTCTGAACTAAGCACTAGAAATACTATGACCAAAAAGATAGCCATGGTCCCTGCCATCAGTGAGTTCTCTTAAAGTTATAGGTTCTCCAGGCTGATGTTTATACAATGAAGGTGTGTAACTTGCAGTGCATGCTCTTAAGACTGTTTTTAAGACATAAACATATACATTCTTTATGCATGTAAGCCAGTTTGGATGTTCAGATATTGATCACCACTCTTAGCCCTTGAGCAGCATTTACTAATTGTGATGCTCAGATCGAATGGACTAAATGCAGCAGGTCCACTAAACACATATTATTTTTGTGTAGCAAGACAGCAAGGTGTTTTGTTGCTAAATATTTGTCATTTTCAGTAACTATTCGTTAATGCATTCTTCTGTGTTCTAGGTTAATAATCCAGTTGCATGGGAAGGAACAGCATGTTCAAGATATCATTCCTATAAATAGCCACTTCAAATGTGTTCAAGGTACTTGCTTTAATGACTTAGCTAATTTTATAAGGCTTCGCCTTGGTCATTAATGCAGTGTATAATGTCATACATATTCAAATTTGTCACTGCATGTAAAATGAAATATATTGCTCTTCACAGAAAAATTAACACTTCTAACCGGCCATTGAAAAGATAAGTGTTATGTTTAAAATGCTGAAGAATTATATTTTAAACTACATATGTATATAACACCTGCCTCACTGAGTAGGGTTGGAGATACGCATAACTAATCTTTTATGCTGACTGACATATATGTGGATTTAAATGACGACCTTGGGCTTAGCCAACATTCTGTCCATTGTAAAGGATTCACATATTCTGCACTTTGGATTTCAGTCACCTTGGCAACATGAAGTATCTGACTGTCATGCCTCATACTCAGTTCTGTTGGTTCTCAAGCCTTAATGTTGGTGAAATCATAACTCTGGGGAGGGAGCACTTGGCTTTCTACCCTCACATTTGAGGACTGAACATAGAAAAATCTTGTTTCGTTTGCTGCAATGAAACTCAAAGGCTGGGAGAGCTGTGTAGGAGGTATTGCTTCTGTAACTTCCCATTGTTCTAGAAAGGAAACTGGTTACTAGAGACCAAATGTATTGTGTCTCCCAAAGGTCCAGTGCTTTTCAGGGAGAAGCATTCTGTACCCAGTGGAGGATCTTGAGAGCTTGAGTCCCACCTTGCACAGGTTCTTTCTACATTAAATTTTGATCTTTTCACAACAGTAACATGCATTCTGTAAAAGGGTTGGAAACAGCAGCAATGCATGAAGAAAATAAGTCACCTAAAGCGTCCTTTAGATACACCTAATAGCTATTTTTTTGTGTGCACACAATACATCGTTTAAGCGGGATTCATCCTATACAACATTTTTCTCTCATTCACTTGCTACTATATTACGAGTGCTGTCCCATGCTGTCAATGGCTATATGCCGTTCCATTTTATGAATAGCTCATAATCTAATTATTCTCTGGTTGACATTTGGACTACTGTTCACTGGTATAAGTAGGAATGGGGCGAACATCTCTGCACATAAATCTTCCTACATATTTATTATTTGTTCAGGATTTATCCCTGTAAGTGAATATAGTCAGTGTGTATGACTTTTAAAACAGTGCGCTGAAAAGAAAACACAGTGTGTATTAAGAACTCAGAAATACTCAGCTGACCATAGTGGCTCACACCTATATCCCAGAAGGAGGCTGAAACAGGAGGGTTGCAAATTAGAGGCCAAGAAAGAGTTCCAGGCTAGACTTGGCCATGTAGGGAGACCCTGCCTGCAACAACAACAGCAAAAAGCAAAAGGAACAAGGAGAGGAGAAGATAGGGGACAGAAGGAAGAGAAAGAGGAGGGAGTAAATTGAAATATGTACAGGAGTATCGTCTACAGTGTGTCAAAAAGCAAACCAGCTGTTGAACCTGCCCTGCGCTGGAGACATTGTAAACAAGGCTCCTACTGCTATAATAAGGTTGCTATACTCACAAAAGAGCCAAAGGTTTTGGTGTCTGAGCATGATTTGGACCTTTCCTACTACCCCAAGGGTCTCGTTTCCCTTATTTTTAATAAGAAGTAGATGGCCAGTTGCTATATTGCAGTGGAAGACGTATGCCATTTTTCCCCCATGACAAATTGAAATGTTATGCCCTTGAGTTTTCACTTCCTTTCCATTTCCTGACTTGCATATCTATTTGGGAAACTAGTCACTCAGAGTTTTGTGGAACTAAAGGGCATTACAGAGCAACTGTGAATATAGATTACGTCTTCATTTCCTATTTACGTCAATCTGCAACGGAGAGCAGGGGGACTACACTCTGCTGCTAGAAAACGTAGTGCCTTACTAATCGCTGCTCTTGTACCTGAATAGTAGAACCTGGTGTTGAATCGAGTGCAATGAGGGAGCTAGAAAAGTGTGTGGCTTCGCATCTGATCAACAGAGGTCATGGTTGATTCCAGCTCAGAACCAAGTGTCAGCTGTGAGACAGTAGCCTGTGCTCAAATCTAGGGAAGTCAGAAGAAGGTAGGTTGAGTTCAGATACTCGAGGCAAAAAAGGAAGTCCAGGAAAACCAATGAGAGAAAAGAGAACTCTAAACTTGCAAACGGCTTTTGCTATCCTCTCCCCCCTTCCCCCCCCCGCCCATTGACACATAACATTTGTGCATATTAGGGAGTACAGTGTAACAATCTGAAACACGCAGTTGTCAAATTGAAACAATAGCATTTCTTTGTATTAGGGACCGTCAAAATCATCTAGTTTTTCTAAGATCTGTAGTAACGTGTGATCTACTGTAATTACCCTGCTATGCTGTAGAATACTAGACCTTAGTCCTCCTATCTAACCGTACTTTGCTATCCCGTATTTACTCTCTCTGGATCCCTTTACCCACTACTTGACCCTAGTCTCTAGTCCTACTCTGTGCTTCTATGAGATCAATTTTTAGCTTCCACATGTAAGTGAAAACATGCAGTATTTATCCTTCTGTGATGGTTTATTTCACTTAACATAATGTCCTCCGGTTCCATCCAATGGCCAAAAGGACTGGATTTCATTCTCTCTGTCCTTAAACAGTATTCCACTGTGTGTTATACACTGGATCTTCTTTATTCATCTGTCTGGGTCCTCACGTCAGTAGATGGCTCTTGTGAATCATGCTCCAATTAAGATGGCATTGTGTCTGAAACTTCTTATTGGATATGATACCTTTTAGACCCACAGATATTCACTAAAGCCTAAGAGAAAAGAACTTTAAGTATACTCTACTCTTCGACAGGGCAAAAGCAGAGATGAGATCACTGACAAATTTTCAGAGACTATGTCTGAGTTGAGAGAATAATTCTGTGAGAAGAATTCTCTGAGGCTTTTAGTCACTTTTCCCTGGCTTCCTATAAGATCGAAAGAACACAGAGAGCTAAACTGGCCTTCACTTGCACGAACATGTTGTCATGTTCCCTTCTATTAAGTCACCATACCTTGCTTTTCTTTGAGGAGTTCCAGTTGGGTCCTTGATCAGTTCTTTTTTTCTTTAAGTTGAATTGTACATAGTCTTTATAACCTGGGGCTATAAAAATTCTTTTTAAAAATATTCCAAACGAAAACAAAGGTTTCTTTAATGTATTCTGAGACTCAGGAGGGGTGACTGAGTGATTGTTTAGTTATGAAATAGTGCTTTCGTGGTAATGAGTAGGATTCTCCTCTCTGATTCCATTGTGTTTTTCTCCTCCCTGTAGAAGCAGAAGAAACTCTTTTGATTGATATTGCTTCAAACAGTGAGTATCTTTCTGAATGGAGTTGATTTTCATTCTACAAATATTGACTTTATTACTCTATATTTAAGAAACTTTTGGGGGGGGTGCATGGTAGTAGTGCACACCTTTAATCCCAGCACTCAGGGGGCAGAGGCAGACAGAACTCTGTGAGTTTGAGGCCAGCCTGTTCTACAGAGTGAGTTCTAGGACAGGCTCCAAAGCTACAGGGAGAAACCCTGTCTTGAAAATCGAAAACAAACAAACACACACACACACACACACACACACACACACACACACAGAGAGAGAGAGAGAGAGAGAGAGAGAGAGAGAGAGAGAGAGAGAGAGAGAGAATTTTCAGGGGTACATCTTGCTTGTATTTAGCCATCTCATCCTGTCACCATTTTCTTAATGCTGCCCTACAAATTATCTTCATCTCTCAAAAACGTTCCATCTGAGTTTGAGAAAACACAGAAAGCTGCTAAGAATCTTTAAAAATCTGAAATGCAATCAGCTCTTCTGCTGAGGAGCTTTAAGCCACCTGAAGATGCAATTATTGTCACTACCATTCGCATCACTGCTGTGGGACTGATTAATTATAAAGAAGAGCTAGGGAAATGCTTAAAACACTTAAGGTTTCCAGATCATGTTTTTGTGTGTGTGTGTGTGTGTGTGTGTTTGTGTATATATGCAGATAAGCATGCATGTGTGTGTACATGCAGTGTGTGTGTACATGTGCACATCTGTGCATTTGTGTTGAGGCCTTGGGTCAGTGACAATAAGTAGCATTTTTAGGTGTTGTCCACCTTTGTTTTTGAGACAGGGATTCACCAGCTTGGCGTTCCCCAATTAAGCTAGGCTGGTTGGCCAGTAAGCACTAGGAGTCTACCTGTTTCTGCTTCCTCAGCACATATTACAAGTATGCTCCACTTTCCAACTTTCTTACATAGGTTCTGAAGATCAAATTCAGTTCCTCATGCTTAAATGCCAAACACCTTACTGATAAAGCTATCTACCCAGCCATATTAGTTTTTATGTGTGTGTATTTAAAATAAAAATATAATTGCATTCTTTTCGTTCTTCCCTATCATCCCCCCAACCCCTCTAAAGTTCCCTCCTTACAGTTTCTTCCAAGTCCCCCCACTTTCAAATTGATAACTTCTTTATTGTTATTATTATTATTATTTGTTGCATATGTGTGTGCATTCATGTATGCATAAATATATAAATACAATCTGCTAAATAGGTTTCTGTTCTTTGTGTGTATATGGCTTCAGAGTATTGAATAACAAATTAGGGGCTCATCCCTGGGTGAGGCTGATTCTCCCTTTCGGAGAGTCATTAGTTGCCTTTTCTTTTGTTGTTATTGTTGTTAGCATACAAAGTAATAAATGTTATCATGGCATTTCGAACATACTCTGGCTTTATTGATTTTCCTCCCACAGCCTCTTTCCTCCTGAACCCTTTCTTTACCTCACTGGTCCTCCTTCTGCCTGCATGTCACATATATTCTTTGACCTTGTTTTCTTCTCCCCAACATCCCCTTAAGATAAGACCTTTTCCTCTCTCATGATCCCCTTTCCAGTCTTCTAGCCCGTACCCCCCCACACACATAGATGCACTTGGATGCATATTAAAATTTAGGCTCTGTGTGTGAGGGAAAACATGCAGTATTTGTCTTTCTGAGTCTGAGACACGTTGTTAATATCATCATTGTAATTTGTTACACCTATTTTCCTGCAATAGTCACGACTCTATTTTTCTTTGTGGCTGAATCTTTTGACTGCTATTATACTGTAGACTTTTCTCCCACCTTCTCTTGATGTTTTTGTGTAAGCTCACGATGTTTTCACCTGTTCCTTATGTTATGTTGAAAGGCGCAGAGTCCATGAAATTACTTGTTCAAGCATTCTCTTTTCTTTTTTGAAATAATTTGTGTCCTACTTGAGCCCTGTTCCCTCAAGGCCTCCATTCATCCGAGGGAACATGGTCTTCTTTTCGCTGTTTCTGTGCTTTCATTTTTATCAGTTTGTTGCAAATCACTGACTTTCTATGCAAGATGTTCTTTGTTTATCATCTAATTGTACTGTGCTCTGGAGAGGAGAAAATGGGCACTTGATTGCTACTGTGACTACCGTGTGGTTGCTATGGAAAGTGTGTCTGACCACACGAATCTAAATCAAATAGCTTGCCTTATCTCTTGCTTGAGTCCTTGGATAAGTAGAACTTGCCATTTAGCTTGAGGCTACAGGTTGCACATTAATTTTGCTTGGAGATGGTCTCTGCCCTTGGCATTATTAATTTGTACTGGATGGTTTTCTGGTTTGAGTTTATTATTCTTTTCTTTAATCGTCAAATATAGAAGTCTTAAAGGCTGGTCCTAACATGCTATGTAAAACTAGCTGCTAGTTTCTGTTGCAGGTATCCAAGAGAGAAAGTAACTCAGAATCTGTGTTTTATTGTGACTAGACAAAAGGAAACAAAAACAGCACCAGGTTGGAGATGTAGCTCAGTTGATAGAGTGTTTGCTTAGCATCCAAAAACACCCTGGTTCTGTCCCAACACGACATAAACTGGGCATAGTGGCGTACATCTGTAACCTCAGTGGTTGAAGTGCAGGAAGGAGGATGAGGAATTCAAGTCTATCCTTGGTTACATAGTGATTCCAAGCTAGCCTGGGCTACATGGAACCCTCCCTGTTTCCAAACCAGAGGTGTTGTTGGTGGTGGTGGTGGTGTTGTTAATGAATATAGGGTCAGGGAGAAGTCTCAGTGAGTAAAAGCACCTGCTGTACAAGACTGACGATCTGAGTTCAACCCCTAGAAAATAGCACCCTTTGTTAATGGGCAAGACTGATTTTGGTATAAATATGTATTGTTTAGATACCAATAATAAACATCTTGAAAATAGTTTTTCTGGTTATAAAGTTAATGCAATTAATTATAATTTGTGATCATCAAAAGTTTCAAAGTATCAAATTAAACTTTTGGGTAGAATGGAAGAGGTGGCTCAGCAATTAAGAGCTAGTATCTCTCTTGCAGAGGACCCACTTGCAAGTTCAGTTTCCAGCACCCACTTAAGGTAACTCCAACTCCAGGGGATCCAATGCCCTCTTCTAGAGTCCACAGACACCTGCACTTACATCTGCACAAACATACACACATAATTAAAACTAAAATCTTTGAGCATTGCTATATAATCATGAAGTTATACTGTAGCTAACATTTATATATATGTATATATATATATATATATGTATGTATGTATCCTACTGCTTTAGATTATATTTCCACATAATTAGAATCCTTCTACACAGTTTTTGTGGGAGAGTTTTAATGATGAACTTTGACCCCAGAGGTCTGGTGCATGGTAAACATATACTCTATGACTGAGCTATACCTCTACTCCTTTATTGACAGTTTTTATTGTGGATTTTTACTTAACACTTTACCATGACATTTTCCCTATGATATTTAAAATCATTTTAAACATACTTTTGTTGTTGTTATTGTTCTTTGTTTGAGAAAGAATTCTATCTATTTCTAGGCTAGCCTCAAATTCCTTATGTAGTCAAGGATAACATTGATCCTTGTCTCCTTAGTGCAGGAATTAAAGCCTATTCCACCTTGCCAGGTCGTTTAAACACAATTTCTAATAACCAGTATCTCACCATAGCTATTTTGTCATACTTTTATCAAATTAGTTCATAAAATTAAATCATTTTGCAGGAACACAATTCATCTCTTTATAACAAATCTTGTTGTTTCTTTATGTACATCAGAATTTTAGGTTAAGAATTTCATGATGATTTGTTGCTGATATTGTGTGGGGGGGGGTTCAGTTATCTTCTGATTGCTTATTACTAGCATATGAACAGCTAATGAATCATGGATATTTTATCCAGCCACTTCACCTAATTTATTTTTAGTATTTTTCTATTTTTTTTCCATTTTGGTAGATGGATAACCTTAATTATCTTCAAATAGCTAGTCTGCCCTATTTCTCATAGCTAAAGCCATTGCCATGTTTCATGTCTTACTGTACCGATGAGAATTTGGGGATCAATGTTAGCTAATGGTGTTAATCCTTGTGTGGGTCTGGGTTCCAGTGAGGATACCTCAAGTGGCATTTCCCAGTTCAAGACATTCTAGCTGATTACTTGCTGGTTCTTAAAAAAACAAAGTAAGAAACTGCATTTAAACCAGACATGGCATGTGCCAGTAGTCAGAATACTTGGAAGGCTTAAGTAAAATGATCATGAATTCAAGGCTAGGGCTATATATAGCAAGTTCAGGACCAGCCTGAGTCACATAGCAAAACTCTGTCACTTACAAAAAAAACCTAACAGTAAAATAAATGTATTTAAGTTTTTTGCTGTTCTTTAACATTGTGAATATATACTGAATTTTATTAAATTTTGTCCCTCTTATTCATGGAGATGATATGATTTCCCCTTTTCTTTCTTGTACCTTTATGACCTTTAGATGAACTCTATTATGCTAATTTTTAATTATTACTCTACCTAGTTTACTCATTATTCTATAAATATTTGTTCAGTGCCTTCTGTTTGTCAGACCTGCTTGTAAATCCCACAAAATCATCAGAGCACAGCAGAGATAATAGTCTTGCTATTGCTTTGGTTTTACCTTCTGTGATTTTTTTTGTTGCTTGAGCCACAGAGATGCCTATAATTCATGAATGTATTCAATAAATATCTGAGTACATTTTGGGTGCTGTGCACTGTGCAAGGTTCTAACACTACAAGAGAAAACAACACTCTTGGTAGTTCATGTATTTTAATATAGAAAAGTGACTTTCAGCAGGTTTAGACGCTTACATGCTTGTGGATTTGGTAAATAAAAGAAAACTTGCAAAGAATTTACAAGAAGGGTTATTCATTGGGCATTGTAGTTAGGCAAGGAATTTACAAAGAAGAGACATTTAAATTGGGAACAGAGGGCCTAAGAGACAGGCAACAAGTGGAGTGGGGGAAAATGTATTCCAGATCAAGGGCACATGAG